AGCCAGAGTAGGACTACAAGTCTAGTCATAGACAAGTCTATCTCTGACTATATAAGGAGAGACCAGTGAGGAAATAATAATATAAATATTCTGTGTTTCTTCATTAAATTCTACATTCTTTATATAGTTTCAGTTTAGCAAAATAAAACGGTGAATGAATATTTCCTGAGTACTCACATGAGTAACTGAGTACTCACTGAGTAACAATACTCAGAAATTGTTAGTAGTACCAATGTGAGTACTCATGCACGAATTATGAGTAAAGTCGTACTCATTGTATGAGTACTTTCACTAGGGTAAGTTCATTATCATAAATTTGTTGAATTGGTGTTTTTGGATCTTCGACAACTTTTCGTTTAATACTACGAACGATTTCATCGACATGCACGAAACTGAGTGTTATCATGTTTATGTGTACCATTTACATATATAATTTTATCATTTTGTAAATTAATCGATGAAGCGCAACTACTAACTGTACATACCCATCGTTCAGAACCGTTTTTATTTATACGTTGACGTCGAAAAAGATTTTCTTTGAACAATATGACAGAAGCGCCCTTTTGACTTTGCCTTCGTACAAAATCCATGATAATTTTATGAAGAGTGAGAAGACATTACTTTGAGCAGTATTATTTATAAACATTTCGAAACAACAGTTGACGCTGACCGTTCACAAACAGTTGACGTTTACAGTTTACAAATAGTACAATAACAAATTAACTTTTTTTGTTTTAAATATAAGTACTAATTACCAATTAAGATAATCTTGATTGCTTCTACCTCTTATTTAATTTAATTTTTATTTGGAATATGGAAATGAGAGAAAATGTATCTCTTTTGAGAAATGAGAGATTTCATATCTATAATTGTATATCTTTTGAGAAACGCAATTTCTTGCCAAAATATTCGTTTCTCAAAAGAGATACTTTTTAATTGATTAAAATAGATAAACTGTAAAATATGGATTTGTATGTCTTTTGAGAATATATAATGTACCTCTTGTGAGAAGCTACGTCGATAAATACATTCTGTTTCTTATATGTTTTTATACAATCGTTTTTTCTATAGCGAATGCAGTTACTGTTGTTTAATTAGTTCATTTTTTTTTCTTCTGAATTTAAGCGATAATCAATAGACATTCAATTATTGTAGCAATTTCGACGATTTAACGCGGATGTAAGTTAGTGACTGCGAACTGGGCTTTCCATTAAAAATTTTGTCAAAGCGCATTTTTTTAACGGTTTAAACTATATTCAAAACTTTTCTGGGCTCAGTATCCGCATTGCAGAAATCCAGACGCCACTACTAATGTAAATTAATATGATACCAGCCTGGTGTCATTGTAGCTTAAAAACATTATTTAAAAAATCGAGTCTGGAGAAAAATGCTGAGAAAAAAACGAATGGATTTAGGATATTTCTGTATTCACCCGTTTCAAAACTTGGTCTTTCGAAAAACCAACTTTCTTGGAAAGCACCTAAACTTAAAAATAAATACACTATCTTGTAGAGAATTTAATTCCCTACAAAATGCCATATCTCTTAATTTTTTTCGCGAAAATATCTAGGTCAGAAAATTAAAAATAAAATTTGGATTTCAGTTTTTGAGGTCAAAATTTAATTTTTTGAAAATTTTAAATCGATATTGGAAATCAGCTTCAAAAACTATGTTAGACGATGTGCTTCACAAATTCTTAAGGTTAAAAAATAATTTTCGAACCATCTTAAGTGAAGGTGACCGTTAGCTGGACAGGCCGTACTGCTAAAGCTTTCACACTGAAGCAAGAGCTTGCTCAACTCGTAGCATTGGGGAAGAACGGTCATACATTTGCGTCATTTTGGAGAAAACATTCAACTTTACTTGCAATATTGAATCAGATGGCACGTCGATTCGGTCCTATGCCCGCGACCTCAGTCTCCAGTGAGAGCGCATTCTCAATCGCAGGCTACGTTGCTCGAAAAACACGGTCTTCTCTCTCAGCTAAAAACTTGAAATATTCAATGTTCCTAGAAGATAAACTTTAATCTTTTCTTTAGTCTGCTTTTCTTACAAAGATCATACTTCTTTTATTTTACTTTTTAACCATACTTATCTGAGGAATAAAAGATTGACCATTTTACATGCTTCTGTTTATGATGGCAGGACTTCGCTGACATGAACGTCTAATGAACATTCGGGACGTTTAAACTTTGTCTAGGCGACTAGTGAGCTGCTCGAACATATCAGTTCCTTTCAAAAGATTTGTTCGAATATATCAGCTTCGTTCGAAAGAATTTTTCATCAGTTTCTGTGATAGGAGTTGATATGGAACTGTCATACCCCTAATATTAGCACAACAATAACTCATAAGATGACGAAATGGAAAAGATTGATTCTCATTCTTTTTCATTTCACAATTGTTGCTAGAGGCCTTATGTACAAAAAAAAAAATAAAAAACATAAAATTTTTTTTTGTATTAGAATCATGAGTATCGAAAGATAATTCCCGAACGGAATTAGTAGGTCATTTATTGAGCAAAAATTACTTAGGCAAGTACAAAAATCAAGTGGCATATGAGTGCAAATTTTTGTACATTCAACAGGAAAAAGAAAGGAGAAAGGATAATGTGGACATTCCCGAACGATCGAACAAACGAACGATGAGTGCACATTCCATCACGTCCAGTTCGATAATCATCAGAACATCGAAAGACATTTGTTGACATTTTTTGCGATTTTTCTGTATACTATTTTGTATATAAAAGAAGAGGCCTTCTTATTCATTTCCTGCAGTCTTTTGTGAACCTCTGAAGAAGAATTCGAAACCAGTCAGGTTAATAAAAAGGAACAAAAACAAACCACTTGTTGTTGTTATTCTCTCACAACTGTTCGACCATTGCGACAGATGTTGAGTTCGGACCTGGTTCTCTTAAAACATCACCCTACAAAAAAATATTTTAGCGGCACTGGTTGATTGTGCACGAATGCGCACCGTTACCAGAAAGAATGTAAAAATGTCGCACCAGTGCCGAAGTATTCGAATGTCCTTCTTACGTATTGACGACCCTCTCAAAACTTCTAATATTTCGAATGTCTTTCTGACTTCATCTTTTCCTTCTCATAAGAGAAGTGCCGAGGCAATGCCGCATGGTTTTGGCATGTCAATGTGGTGTGACCGATGGCATGCCGTGCGCACTGGTAGTGCGTCACTGATTTTCACCAGAGCTGCACTCGAACTTTTTTATAGAGCAGCTGTTGAAACAACTTCAGTTAGAAGAATCGACAATCAAGGGATTAGATGAAAATCCTTATAACTTATGCTGACATCATACGGAAACACATCAGAAGTAAATATTGAGAGAATTCAAAGCGTTCAGTACGCGGGACCGTAAATTGCGGAACCTTTTCTCCCAGCGGAAATTAACATTTGTTTTTGTTATTTTTGGTCACACGGGGAAAACTTTTTTTCTTAAACCCCCGCCCCTAAAAATGTTTTCTCTGCGCGAAGCTTTAAAAACTTTTTACACCCCCCCAAAGTTGACTTCGTTTTTACGTCCCTGTCAGTACTACGCCGCACTTGCAGTAGCTGGTGCTATTTGTGGAAGTAACATAAAGGATCTTTTAGCGGATATCGGTTGCGAACCGATTGAGAATTGGTTCAGAATAGATAGACTAACCAAGTTTCAAACTAATTTAGTTAAACTGTTACCGTCTTATCTTTTTGAACTAATTCCTAACCCAGTAAGGCTACAAACAAAATATACTCTTCGTAGCCAATACTCAAATAGACGAAGATTATCCAAGAGGCATTTGGAAGCAGTTGATGATTCCTTTTTCTACCGAACGTTTCGTGAACATTCTAAATTACCACTAGAAACCTTGTTGACCTGCTTAGGATAATGTTAAAAAACCGCTTAGGATATTTGAATTTGAATTCTATTGTTTCGGGAAGGGACGGCGACCTTGCCTTTCAAAGATCGACGAGGTACGCCACCTGCAGGCGGGCTTTGGGATTTGGCTTTTAACCATTCGCTGTCACCCGGTCTCTTCTGTAAAATGGCAAAAACCACACCTTTCTATCGTTTATCTATCAAAAGCTATGCGGAAAACAGTCGACTGCATTATATTTTGAAATGAATATTAGGTGCAGCTCTTATGAGGGAGTGCTCCCGATCGTACAATGATAATCGCACTTATAGCGGTATTTATGTGTGGTGAAAGCCAAAATATTCGAAAACGCTCAGGGTTGTCTAAAAATAAGAGATTCATCTCAGTCACGTTGCTACCAAATCAAGTTATATCCTCGTTTCTCTTATTTAAAAAACAAATGTGATTACGAAGATCGATATCTGGTTTATTTTAAGATACAGATGCTATATATAACTGAACAACCTTAACTAGATGTTATCTTTAATTCAAATTCAGTCTTTCACACAAAATGCTATGTGGGAGTCGCCGAAATCCACTAACCATTGCACTAGATGGAAGCCTGGAGGACAACCGCCGTGTGTTGGATGATATCCATTACAGGCAGCTCCATTACCACCGTTAATTTCCAGACCACACATTGTACCCGATGCATCAATAACATTTGGATCAGTTTTATAACAAAATGCGGTTCTTCCATTTCCCCATTCCGTTAACCATTCATAACGAGCATAACCTGTTGGGCATCCGTCTGACAATGGATTTTTACCACCACAGGGTGTCCCAAATATCCCGCAAATTGTACCATTTTTAGCTATTTCTTTATCAGTGTCAGACTTTGAGGAGAAGTTCCAAACACCACTTCCAGTCTTCCCAATTAACCACATACTACCAGTATAACCAGATGGACAACCACTTCTTGGATCGACTCCGTCACAGTCTGTTCCGCCACCAAATCTAAAACCACAAATTGTGCCGCTTAAAATATCGGGTTTCGGTGGCTGTGTGACAGGTACTGAACAATCAATACCACTAAAACCTTTGTTACACTGACATAAACCAAAACGAAAATATCCGCTTGATTTACAAATACCATTTGTTGGACTCGTGCAATTATTATAACAAAATAACGGATCTTGCAAATACTTACTCAGTGCTATTTCAATGAGTTTCAGTTTTTTGTCAACTGCATTATCGTTCGGAAATCTCTCTTTAGTGAGCAAATTGAAAAGATATTTGATTCCAAATTTGATGGCAACTGGATTGGAGGGAACAGTTTTCGACCAGTCTTCAATAGACTTTATTGTCGTGTCTCCACCCAAAGTAGTACCACTTGACGTTTTGACGTATTTTGTAAATGTTTCATGGCTTGTCTTATTATATCCGTTCGTATATTTCATCTTGAATGAAGCAGAAAATATTTCCCTAACTTCAGCACTTAACTGCGCCTCATTGGTTATTGTGTATCCATTCTGTTCTAACACCGCTCGGTCTTCCTGTGTGATATAAACATTTTGCTGAGCTATACCACCAAGTAAAAGGTCGGTGACGTAGGTGTAACCGTAATATTTAAATATATATTCGCGAATGTATTCTTCAACCGTCTCATTACATTTACAGCAAGGTAAATGTTGAATAATAAAACGAAATTCATCAGTCAGGTCCAGACCTAGCTCAAACATGGATAGTCGAACATGTGATATCCTTGCATTTGTATGTAATATTGTTGTATTTGTTTGCACCATCTTATCAATCATCTATGTTGTTTGTTTTGAATATGAATAGGAAAAAGATGCTACCATGTATTTAGCGGCTACTGATACATCAATACCGGTTTTCATACTTTCTTGTAACTGTTTCATTGTGCTGATTATTTCTGTTTTAGCAGAAACGTCGGTAGATGGCAAACAGTCAAGATTAACGTTTTGCGGTATGATTTTTGATGTACACGTACCATAAGGTATTTTCGAAAAGTTTAATTTGAATACAGGAAAGTTGAATCCTTCCATCTGACAGTCGCCTGTATAACATACAGGACTTCCGAAGAGCGGATTGTAGCCCAGACCGATCTTATTGCTATTCTGCAACCAGTTTGGAACATCAACCACAACTGATTTCTGTTGTTGAAACATTTTATTGATAATTTTGCCAATATTCTGATTGTCAACAGCACAATCAGAAAGCATTATTTCCATAAACAAAATCACAACAAGCATACTTTAGTTGCTAGAATAAAACAATTTTTTTAAGCATACATAATAGTTGACAGTTTGTATTTATACGAAAAGTTTGAAGAGAGAAAAACAAACCTTTTGAATGTGTACGTGCTGAAAAGGGATTGTAAACCAAATTCTGCCTTGAGATATTCTCATCATGAAATAAGAAGAGTAATTCCAACCGTAAAAATTCGGATTATGGCACTTTCGTCATCACATTATCGTCATTCTGTCGAACGCACTTTTGTCATACATGACGAAAGTTGTGGGGAGGTACTCCTCGGGAACTGGGGTCATCAAAATGTGAATTTCGTTACAGCGTGGTACTGACAGGGACGTAAAAACGAAGTCAACTTTGGGGGGGTGTAAAAAGTTTTTAAAGCTTCGCGCAGAGAAAACATTTTTTAGGGGCGGGGGTTTAAGAAAAAAAGTTTTCCCCGTGTGACCAAA